AAACTTAAAATACTTAGTCTTTCGGGATGAGAGAAACAAGATAAGTGGCAGAGTTTTATTATAGACTCTACCAGAGTCCCTATTAAAGCCTGCCAAATCTTTGTCTGCAGAAACCCATTGGAAGGCTAAGCAGTCAGATCAGTTTTACAGGAACCTTATACCCCATATGTCAGTAAATGCTTTTTTGTAACTGTTGTGTGTAAAGCAAATTCAAAATAATTACCAAAATAAAGAGGCCACTGTAGCATATATACTGATGCATGTCAAATGAATCCTTTAAACTGTTTGAGGGCTATTAAAATTGTTCTTTCCTTTCCAAATCAGGTATTTTTCTCAGGGAGAAAAAAACCAAGGCCTGAAATTTATTGAGTGTAATTAGCTGCAGCTTGCAGTGCCAGCTCTTTGCTGTTCTTCAGCAACCTCTAATTCATTTCCCCCACACCTGATGATGCTGCAGGTGCTGAAGGAACTTGGGAGGAGCTTAGTGATGCATAAGTGCTTGAGTGGTGAGAGATTTGAAACATTTAAAATAGGAAATGTGAGAGGAGAAAAAAACTCCTGATGATCTTTGTAAATATAGATACAGGCATCCTACACAATCCATCCTGTAGTATTCTGACGTATAACTGTAGCATGAATAACTTGGCAGACTTCTCAAGAGATATGAGTGCATATGAAATAATTCTTCTCATGACATTATTCTGCCCTGTCTGTAAATGATTTTAAGATGCAAGAGACTGCATTATTCCTGCTGTAAATGTAACATTATTGACTGTTGGATCTTCATATTTTGACAGATGTACTGCTATTCAACAGTTTCGTTTTATTATACGTGTAAACGTGTATACAAACAAGAAAAATCTGAATTATAATTGTGAATCCATATGGTAGAGGCCTTCTTCTGAGTTTGTCACTGCAATATTTATTGAAGTAGAAGAGCTCTTTCAGCCTTCAAGTATGAATCTTATGCCTGGTGAGCAAGTTGTCCAAACTGTATTTTATTTTGTACATGCATGTACACCTAGTGCCCATCCCATGGAGAAAAGGCATAGGGTCATATTGCACATATTTGTTCCATGTGGTGTACTAGACAGCCAGGGAAAGGAGCAGCCCAAGAAAACTGACTGCACCTTTCCCTGGCTGTGAGTATGCCACATCTTCCATGTGGTAGGAATGGATATTAAGGTTGGGGGAAGCCATATTTTAAGTAGGGGAATAAATATTCTGTTCTTTTAACTTAGTGCACAGAACTGACCTTTCTCATAACTACTTGACTCACTGCAGAAATTGCTTATGTGGTCTCCACAGGGCCTCTGTAACACATACACTGCTAAATGAGGGGGAAAATTCAATGGTCAGTGGGTAACACCATGGACTGACTAGAAAGGTAATAATTTTTGCATGTGCAGGTGTTGAATTTTTCTCAGACTTCCATAGTACTTATTGGTCTGCCAAAGAACTAATAAAAAGAATTTAGATCCTAGCCTAAAATATGGAAATTGTAGTCACACACTTTGCATGCAATCACTAAGTGCCTTTCAACACTTGCTCTGTTGCTGAAAGCAAGTGTGCAGTTCTAACTGCTGCTTGGAGATTACATTCAGTAAAAGTAAGGAAGCACTTTCCAGGGGAAGGGAGCTGAGTACAGAGGGGTGTATACAGGTGTATTTTAAGGTCAGTGGTTATCTGTGCACAGCACTGCATGGCATCCAGACCATTGCACACTTCATGTCTTCCTTTAGGAAGGAATTACACAGCAAACATTATGGTAATGTGTGAAGATGGCAGATCCAAGTTGTTACTGACATAGGCAGATACAATCCCACAGACACATCCATTGTGAGCTGTAGTTTTGGGGCTTGGTGTTAACTCTGAAAGGAGCTAACAAAGCCAGATGAGCAGAAAGCAGGGCGGCACATGAAATTGATTTTTGACAAGTGAAAAACTGCTCATACTGGAAGAGCTCCATGTACACATTGCTTCTTTCTTTCCAGCCTCACGTACAGCAATGCTCCACCATCAGCTCTCTTGCAGGTGATAAATCATTCTGAGGTCTCATCTACTCACTGACTTCTCGTGTATGTGGAATAAGGTAGCAGAATCTATCCCTGGTAAACCTAATTATATCTCTGTGACTGTGAGAAATCAGCTCTTTGTCTCGGAAAAGATTGCCTGTATCTAACACAACCTTACAAAGCCACAGAAAACTCGGGGAGGGGGGGAAGAAATGTACATGCCAGAAGCACAATGCTGCCATTTTAAGGAATTTGCCCATCCTCTTAAGAAGAAAGGAGAGGCACTGGCTCATCTCAATGTTTGTATCCCCTCTGTGTTCTCACAGTGACTCAGAAACATTCAGATATTGTCAGAAATATATCATTAATTATGTCCTATTCTAAGGAAATGTTCACCAAATATGAATTTCAGGAAACTTTGTCTTCATTGAGAAAAGGCTTCACATGTCATAAATCACTTTGAATGTATTTGTTAAATAATTGTATGCTATAGAAATAGCATAGAATTCAAAAAACTGAGTTGAGATCTTACCTTAAAGGAGAATGACAAAACTGACTTCAATTGGGTCATTTTTCACATGGAATCTCCAGGGTGCTAGAAAGGGAGAAAAAAAGAGTTTCTAGGGAAAAAAGCCCCTACCTGAATGAAGTACTGAATTTGAAGCTGATGGTGACTTAATCTTAGTGTTCTAGCAATTATTAGAGTTCTTTGATACATTTTCTTGTGGTTTTAGAGGTTTTTTTCCTCTTTTTTATTTGCCTTTGGCTGTGTCAGTGCATTGCATTGAGTGTAGTCTGAGGGAATCATGTAACTTGTACATTGGTTTATTAATTAAAATTAGAGTTAAAATTCAACTTCTCAGATCTTGAATTATCAGAACAGAAGTGTTTTTTCTTTTATCAAGGGGTAGCTTTTTCTTCTGCATTTCCCTTATCTGGTAGTTGTCCTGGTGCTCCCACTGTCAGTCATCACAGGTGTGGCCTTTAGTCTACTCAAAAGACAAAATGAACTGGTTAATCTAGTCAAAACATTTGCCAATTTCTCAAAGTAGGTGCAAATTAAAAGAGGTGTTTTGCTAAGCAGAGCTACTAATAGGAGCTATATTAATAATGAAAGGTAATTTAAAAGCATGACTGCACAAGCAGAACAAAGCTTTGAAAAGGTCCGAACATATGCCTGTGACTGAACAAACCCATTAATTCCTTACACATTTCCCTTCTTATTCCAGGCAATCAAAAAGAAAATATGCAACTCTTTAATAGCAGCTCTTTAGTGTAGCAGAGGAAGATGTGTTATATGCAGGATATCACAGTGCATATGTGGTTGCCTATAAAAAGTCATGCAGACTGGCAACGCTGCATTTTCCTCATCCGAAAAAAAGCATGGATTCTTGTGGTGGATGCTTTGCTTACAGAACTTCCCCTTACTGATCATGTTTCAGTTGCATCGTGCTCAACATTTAGGAAATCAAAGTTAATAATTTACAAATTACAGTAAACATACCACCTTGCTGATTTATGATGTGCAACAGGGAAAGAGGAAATAAACTACTGAAACATTGTAGCTTTTGTCCTACAGTGGATCCATCTAGTCTTGCATGCTTTTAAATGTCCCTGTATAATGTTGGTTTATAAATATTTACTCGAGCAGTACTGCTGTGGTATGTTGATTTGCAACATTTTTATTTTTTGAAAGTCTTTGTACAGAATCTGTCATTAGTCAGTAGACAGGAAAGGATGGATCTTGCTTAAAAAGCCAAAAGAACTGATGAACTACTCAGGCTGGATTTGCAAAGGAAGAGCAGGGTTAGATAACAGGTCCTGTAACTGTTCCCTAACCCTTCACTGGCCTTCTCTGACCCGAGAATATATGACTGTCACTAAATGACTCTGCATGATTGGGTTTGGGTTGCTGTTCTTTCCCAGCTATTCTCTCTGTGTAAGAAAGGGCAAAAGTCTAGTACAGGTCTTATTGATGGTCACAGCAATTTTACAAAACAATGGGAATTCTTCCCTTGAGATCCTCTGCCACACTGATGCTGAAATATTTGATAGAACTTCCCTGACTATTTGGTAGACGTGAATACATTTGGTATGATGAGATGTGGGGACAGAAAATAGAGAACAAGGACTATTTTAAGGGCAGAAATGAGGTATAGGAGAGCAAAGAAGACATAAGGAAAAGAATAAAACGGTTACAATTGAGGAAGGGAAGATAAGGTGATAATGGGATGAGATACACTTTTTAAAGAGTTGTATGAAGAATTGTATCCTGAAACCTGTAAAATGAAGGAAGGCTAGAAAAAAGAGAAATTGAAAGAGAATGGTTATTTCAGACTCTTGAACTAATAACTTCTCAACCCCTGCCTTTAAAAGAATTCCTTTTTAAAATCAAGGAACTTAGAGAATACATCAAAGGGACATGCTGTGAAAATGGCTGTCAGCAATCAGGAAATTCAGAGTTAATGCTAACACTATCTCTACTGGCTGTTGTACTGCTTTGCTACTGGGGTGGCTTGCACTTGTTGTCCTAATCTTTAATACAATATGTATTGTGCCTTCTATCAGAAAAAGGACACACTACCCAAATTGGTACACTCATTACTTCTCTTATCATCCCCTGTTTAGATTTTGCTTCAGGTAGTTTTAAATGAGAGTTTCTGAAATCTTGAAATTAAACTTTAGTTATTAGACATGATCCTTCAGACCTTGTGTAGGGAACAACTCCTCCTCATTCTGAGCTTGATAAATGCTTCCCTGCATATATAATGGAATGGCCCTGAATGAATTCATATTTGCTTTTGCCTCAGGAAGAACAGCAAGGATAGGTAGGTGACTCTTAAGTAAGATCCTTTGTCTATTGACATTATTTTTAAACACTTCTTCCTCAGGCTGTGGCAATGTGTATTTAATAAGCAAACATCACACCTAACAAAGCACATGCTAACCCTTGCAGCCACAGAGGCTGTGCTGGGTGGTTCAGAGCTGTGTGAATTTGGGGAAGTTATTTGGGGAAGGGGGTTGATAGTGTTATCCTGTCACCAGCTTTCTCAAACTACTAGTATTTGGGTACTCAGTGATGGAAATTATTATCTAGCTTATTTTTTTTTTTTTAATTACAATTAAACTCAGTAAAATTCACTGTTACACTGTGTCTGAGCCATCAAAAAAATTCCTGAGAATGGGCTAAACTGCTCCTTTTCCAGGAGGCTGTATTGCTAGTCCTTAAGTCCTGTCTCAGCAATTTTTGCCTGGCAAAGCATAATGTTTATAATGGTAAAAGTGCAATTTCTTGTCTGATCAAGCAGGTATGCTAACTGCTGGAATCCTCGGCCTCTTCCAAAGGCCGGTTTCATTGTTTACTTGCAATAAACAGAACACAATTAGTCAGGTACCACAAACATATATAGCAAACAACTTTTGTTAAAGAAGTGAAGTACCTTGATTCCAGCTTCAGCTGCAAAGAGAATGTTCTCTGTGTCTATCAAATTATCTGCAGGATTTGTGTCTTTATTTTTCTATGGATGCCAAAGCAGTTAATATAATTCACCCACTGCTTTTACAGCAAAGGAGAAGTTCCATATGCTAACTGTGGTGTCCTCGTTCTGAAGCCAGTCCATTAAACTGTCAGGAAGGTCACTTGGAGAAAGGAACCAACGTTGATCAGTTCAGGCTGATGTTACTAAGGGACTCAGATATGAAGATGGAGCAGAAACTACTCCTGAGTCTAAGGGGATTGATTATTCCACTGACTCTGCCTTTCATGTTTTATGTTTTGTGCTGTAAATATTTATGGCTCTCCTATTTTGTTTGGTTTTTTTTAACATAATGAGGTTTTGTAGAATAAGCAACCTCCGTGCTCTGCCAGCCCAAAAAGAGACAGTGAGTGCAATGGAAGTGTCAGGAGAAGCCTGGCATGGCTATGATGTGACACTTTGTCTAGTACATTGCCATGTTATTCCTGCAGAAGTTTGCTAATTAGTCATTAAACTAAAGTTACCCCTACAATCTTGTCCAAAATGTCACACAGATAGCATTGATTCAGAACCAGCAGACAAAAATGATAATTTTTTTTCAAGCTGTCTGCATAATGTTGCATTATTTTATGTGGTGCTTTTCAGTCCTTGCATGGTATGTGCATTTTAGCAAGTGCCACAAGCTGGATTTGGAGAGGGGAAACAGCCCTAGGGCTTGCCTGCTAGAATGACAGACCCTTCTTCAGCCAGGGCTGAAGAACTCCATGTTCTTCATGTGCTGATATTTTGTTTTACAGTCCTTGCTAGACTGGATGCAAGATTTGTATGGGGAAATGACTGGGGCAATACTCTGGGTCAGAAATTCTACCCTGGATATGCTTATATTAGAATGAGATGGTGCATATGTCACACTGTGTTCTGTGCCTTCAAAAATGCTACTAAGCTCCCTTAAAGGACACTGTAAAGGAGTAGAGCCATGTGAGCTCCCAGCCCTGTGAGCTCCCTGCAGAGACCTGGGCTGGGTGAAGTCATTGCACTGGGGCTTCAGTAGCAGATTCATAGTGTCCACATTTAATGGAATTTCCCTCTGGTTTCAGTGCTATTTTTAACTGAATTGATGGCCCAGTAACTTGCTGCAAGCTACAAGTGAGTTCAGTTTGCCCTAGGGGACAGCCGTGTGAAGAGTGCCCGGTGTAACCCTTAGAGAGATGTTAACTATTCTTAATTGTTTGGCTGTCACTTAAAAACGTGACTCAGGAGACCACTGAGACCCAGTGGGCCCCTCTGTCAGACTGGGCATGCAGGGGGCTCGTGTGACAGCCAGGAGGTTCTGTCCACAGAGCTCTGACCAAGCCCTTCCACCGTGAGCCAGCCCCAGTCTCCGGGACACAAAGAGCACTGAACTTCCCCAGTCACCTCAGCCAGGTGTGACATTTGGCACAGCTTTCTGTACTTCTATTTTCTGGGAGAAATCACATTTGAAGATGCTGTCTCCCAGTGTAAAGTTCAGCTGTTCCCTCAGTTGTGCCTTTCCAGTGCTTGGCTGGGTGGCCACATTTATGGGTTGTGTTGGGTTTTTTTAACAAAAGTGAAGCACCACCAAAAAATACTCCAACAAACCCAAAACAACACCAACAACCCTCCTCAATTGTCACCAGTTTTTAATATATCATAATTTTTAAATGGGGGTTATTGTGTGTTTATCTGTGTTTTGTTTTTCAAAAATTAATGTTGTAAAAAGTTAGGTGGTACAGCAAGGAATCATAGACCTATTTGGGGAGTAGGAAAAATACTTGCAGTGAAATACTTGATAAGCCAAGCCAGCACATTTAATCAAAACCTTATTAGAAGATAGTTTAAGATGCCTAAATTTTTTGTTGGCAAAAAAAAATATATAGAAAGGGTACCTTAATTCAGTGAAAAGGGGCCAAAAAAGTTCACATCTGAAAGAGAGATTTCAGTTATTGTGGTGGGTTTCTTGATTTTATATAGTAGATCTGATTAACAATAAAAATGATACATTGGTAGATGCAGTAAATTTTGTCAGTTGTGGTGATGTTGGTTTGGAACCATGTGCTTGAGAAAGTGAAAATGCTGAAAAGATGTTATAATTGAAAAGAAAGTCCTGTGTTTTGTACACTACCTAAGAACCACTTTTTCATGGCCTTGTATATCACAGCAGAGGAGCCATTGTGTTACTCAATATGAGGCTCAGTACAGTTTAATTGGAAAGCAGATACTTCGTTTATTAACTCGTAATTGAATTAAATGAAGGTCAGATTTAAATAGCTGGAGATGAGTAGATGGTAGTAGCAGTAAACTCTTCTAAGTAACGATGGTAGTAGCAGTACCTCTCTTAAAGCAAAAAAGTTATGAGAATGTGAAAATCCTAAAACCTAGGAAAATCCAAGTGGAATTATGAACTATTTAATGCTCTCTTGCCGTCCTGAGCAATTGAGAAACAAGTTTGTAGCAGCCAGGAGTTCTTACAGTAACTAGAAGTGACTGGGAAGTTGAAACAGATCATCCCAGAGGCAAAGATGGAAAAAATGAACCACTATGGAGAAGACATGAAAGTGATCAGGTTTGTGTGGGAAATGCATTTCTCCAAGAAAACCCAAATTTTGATTTCAAACCTAGTTTGTTCTTTCCTTTTTTTGTTTATATCCAGGTGAGATACTGTCTCTTCATTGATTTGACCTATGGGGAAAAGTTGAGAGCAGCTGTAAGTGACATTTGGAGAAAAGTTAAAAACTGCTGATGTGAGTGACTGGCTGTTGTGGTGGGCAGGGTCTTTACAGAGATGTTGAGATCTGCTGTTGTGGAAAACTCGTGCCTTTAATGTGCTGTAATATATGATGCAGTGTATTTCTCAGTGCTGTGTGTGTGCTAAGCGTGGTGTTTGGGAGATGGAGCCTCAGCATCGTCTTCAGGGCCAGCAGGGTTATCAGCATTTGTGCACAATCATTTCACAATTTATCCAAAGGCTCAGGCCATTTGGGCACCTGATTTCAGCACACGGTTCTGGAATGGGAAGCTTGCAATGCATTTCTGATATTCCTTTCAAAGGCTTGTTAAGTGACACACTGTGCTCTTTACAAGATTACTTTGGGGCCTCAACCAACGGACATTAATGTGGAAAAGCTCCCATTGACTTTAATTAGAGCTGGCTTAGTCACACACTGAGCACTTAATTGCTGTCTGAAGCAAGACCTAAGTGAGAGGTACTTTATAGCTACCACAGGTAAACAGATATTATTGGAATGATTTTATTTATAAGTAAGTAGGAAGTACAGTTGTCTGTATAATTCTTACTCTTTTGCCCTGTTATTGACTAATAAATAAAATAAACTTTAATTTAAACTCCTGAGTAGGTACACCATGGCTATACTTTATTATAACACAAGAATGATGTTTCCTGATTTGAATTTTTAGAGATGGAGCCCCAAGGCATTTTTTGTTTTGTTTTGACTGTCTTTATATTAGATTTATGAAAGTAAAATGTGTGTAGCTCTGGGTGCTTTGGGTGCTTCTAAACATGAACTTTTCATTACTTGCATTATTGGTCTTACTGACGCTTTTTGGTTTTTATTTCTTTTTTGTATTAAAATGTTCAAGAATTACACTAACGTGTAGTAAAATAGAAGAGAACGCTAATTTAGAGGACTTGCCTTAGTACTCTGAGCTAAGTCTGGGACTTGCCTTTTGGATACTGGAATGCCTTTCTCAATTACATTTTGCTAGGAGAAGGAGACTTGTCCCACAGCATATGGCAGTTGAACAGACTGTGGGGTTGTATGCATGCTAAATTCCTGTTAACATTAATCAGAATTACATGTGCACACTGAAATAATAGGCTAGCTAATATTGCCTCAGATAGCTCACAGAAATTCCTCTAACTTGTGCAAACAGTACCCATTCCCCCAAAGGGTGCATTCATGTGGAATTTGGGAGCTGGATGTGACCATGAAAGAAAATGTGGGTACCAAATGCAGAGAATAGAGCAGCATGACCAAGGCAAAAAGCAAGCAAAATTAATTTTGCTGCAGAGTAGTTAATGAATAAGCTCAGAAATGACATAAACACACAAGGAAGAGAAATAATGTAAGGTGGAAGTCTAAGACCAAATTTTTAATTAGTGAATGAGAAACAGTATGTGGTAGATGTTGCATTAAACTTGTATGTGGCTTCATTTAGAAAGTTTTTGGCTGATAATATTGATTAGATTTTGTCATTTGGGGTAAGGAGGATGGGTTTTCCCTCTTGTTAGATGAAAGGGTCTAGAGCTGGGTAGTTTTTTTGTGATCCCTTGGGTCTGGTATGGGTCTCAGCCCCAAGTGCAGACCTTGCTACTCAGAGACAAGGTACAGAAGAAGAAAGGTCCAAAGGCTGAACCATAAGGTTCTTGTGAAGGGCATCCCGAAGAGAATCAGAGAGGTAGAGAGAGAATCAGGAGAAAGCAGAGCTGAGGGAGGGAAAGGCACTGAGCAGAGTCTGATCACTGCTTTTAAACTGGATCTGA